CTGACTGATTTCCTGCTTGAATTGAGCATTTTATTTCTGAAGACTATCATTGGTACGCCTAAGTTCTTTGAGCTCATTCGTGAGATTCAAGTCGTGTGAGTTAGACGCCTGACCTTTGGTGTCACCGGCCCTATCGGCCCACGTTAGAGAGGATTTGCCTTTACCACCCGAGGGAGTCTTGAGTCTCGCTCTGCTAGACGATCAATTCCTGGAGTGGGATGACGAGCGGCCACTAGATTGGGAGCGCACTGGAGAAGGGGATCTGGGTAGTGAACTTGAAGCAGAGCCACTTCTAGAGCCCCGTCGGCTCATGGAGCGGCTTCTTGAACGTGAGAGCCATTTTCCCCTAGGCCTTAATCTAGATGGGGCCTGCGAATTGGAAGATCGAATGACCGACGGCGGAGAGAGCTGCTCTTGCTGTCTGGCACGCCCGAAGCGTCGTTGACGAACGATGTACGAAGTCGTTAATTTTTGTGCGCATTTTTTACTGACAGTAGGGTGTCAACTGCCACAGAACTTGCATTTTGGGATGCACTGATGCTGCTTATCATGGTTCGGAAAGCCACATCCCCGACAGACGACGTCGCTTGGTATTGGACAGACATCGGCACGATGCCCGAATTTTCCGCATGCGAGGCATACGTCCACTTGCTTTCGGTATAGGAAACATTTTATCAGAAGCGTTTTGTTTCTGACAAAATTCGGTACTCGGTGTTCGTCAAAGGCGATGATGATAGCCTTGGTCTGAGCTATTCTTTTAGCTGCCAGCGCGAGAGGATTATTCTTGTTGATGATCCTGCTATCGAGCGTCGCGGGATTGACGTGCAGTGGTATGCCTCGTATGACCCCGTTGCACGTCGAGTGTTGGACAGTCTTGTAGGCACAAAGTTCGTGAATCTCGCCCGAGATACAGATTTGCTTGATGGTGGTGTATCTTTCGGCATTTTCTTGTCTAGGAGTGGTGGCTATCATGATGTCGTGCTGTAAGTTCGGGCACAGAGTGTCTTGTGAGAGCTTGTCCTCGCTTGTACCTGCGGCTGCAAATACAGCATCAGCGACCGCAGCAGCACCAATATTGGGGATATTAAGCCCACCTCTGGGTCTAATGATGATCTTGGTGTCTTCTTCGGGAAGAACCAGCATTCGGCTTGGCTTGATAATCTTGGACTTCAGCGTTGCACCTCTGCGCATTTGGCTACAGGACTCTGAAAATGTTGCCGCTGCGTCAGGGTGAGGTGCCCGCGATTTGGCACCAGCTCTTCTGGCACCCGCAGTTTGCCATCCCTGGTTATGAGTGACTTCCGGGGAAATTTTTTCTCCCTCTACTTGATACTCCATCATGGTAACAGATGAGTGGTGCCGAGTCGCCATTGAAGTCGTCTGGGTGGCCCAGATTAACTAGGCCTAGGCCTCACGGAAGCGCACAGATTTTCGTAAAATGATCGAAAATCACTCACTGTGATAAAAGATGGTATCCGTATGGTCTTCAGAACTTCGCAGAACAGGTGTGCACAAGTAAACACCAGCACTCAACACAGAAATACTAGAAAAGTCAGGAAAATGCGAGAGCTGACGCGAGCACGTTAGACTCTTCGCAATCTCATTTTGCTGTAATTGCAAAAAAAAACCTTATATTTTTCAGGTTGTTCTTTTACAGTGCTAAGCATTGCTTTGCTTCAGGATTCATTCCCCTGTAGCACACAAACTTTGTGTATTTAGGCAATGAAGCAATGCACACATGTTGTTCATTTTTCTGTCAAGGCAATTTTAAAGGTATTGACAGTTCACAATTTAGAGTCTCTGAAGTAACAGGGATGCCATATCAATTCACTCCTCGTTCTGAAAGCAGTTCCAATTTTATATCCTAGCTGATTACTACAGTGACTGAAAGGATGTTTTGTCTACTCTCTCTCCACTCAAAATTTTTTGTATTTATTTGACAGTAAGTAGGCAGTCCATTTTAAGGCACAACAGCATTCAATGTTTCATGGTGTCTAAGAACACTTCTTGTTGGACGGTTGTTTATCATGTCTGCTCTCTATTATCCCCTGTATTCTTGTCTTGTTCAGTATTTTATCGTTAGTTGTTTATCCCAGCATTAGTCATTGGCAACAGTTATGTGTTTAGTGATAAACACTAATAAACACTATCGTTTACGAAGCCACTAGGTACTTGCATTTTTCATGTTTGATCCTTCAAACAAAAAAATACGGTCATACATCAGAGTAGACTCTGTGTGTTTCTTTTTAAAAGCCCTGCCAAAAATGTCACTTGATTTATTAATTGATGCCAAACTCTAATCAATAGTGATTAATCAACTAATGACTAGATCAAGATCAATCACTTATTTATCTGACTACAGTAGACTCTTGTTAATTGAAACCTAAAAGGACCCCTGATTTTTTTTTAATTACCAAAAAGCTCTCAGATGTATCACTGTGAATGAGGCGACACCACACATTATGATTAGGCATTACAGTCGAGCCCACATATAACGGCCCCACTTAAGACGAACTTTCGCTTAAAACGAACAATATTGGCATGACCGTCAAAATATACATTGGTTCAATGGCACAAAATCGCACTTACAACGAACGTCTCCGAGCGCCGCTGATCAGTTACAGCGAACAGAGTCAGCGGTCTGCCGACTTCCGGGGAAACAAATTTCGACCACCGATCAGACATTGGCGAGGTGCCCATACATTCTTATTGTTAAACGCCGATTCTTCCTCTGCGCCCATCTAGTTGCTGCTCTCCACGACCACTTTTAGTTACGCACCCCTCCGTCCTTTGTCCCCCAGCTACTCTGAGCACCCCGTATCACCAGACCAGGCCCGTGTTTTCACACTGCCACTGATCTTTCGAAGACCGGTCGGCCATGTACCCTGTTTTTGATCGCTGGTACTGTCGTTGGCTTCACCAGCCTGGAGTGACCAGACCATTTGCCAACATCGTCGGCCACCGACTGTATCCGATAGCTTGCGTCTAGTGCACGCGCGAACGCTACCCCACCGACTCTGATAATTTGCGATTCGTTTCGTGTTTAGGACTTGTTCCCGCTCACTTCGCACTCGGCTCAGCACGCCCTCCACGCGGGTGCGGAAGCGTGAAAACGGCTGTTAATTCGCGCGGAACGAATCGCGAAATATCAAAGTTCGTGAGGCCACGCAAGCCCACCGGCGCAACAAAACGATTTCTTGATCACGGCCGCCGATTCTTCAAACGCCTGCCGCGCGCACCGAACGAGGCGGCCATGCTTTGACTTCTGCGTGCGCTGGCACTCTTTTTAAGTTTTTCTACGTGCGAGTTTTGCAGACCTTTCAAGCAAGCTACCCACCTTCCCGTGTGTTTTGGTTTTCAAGGTCGTCCTCCCGCAGCATCCTCCCCTCTCTTTGTAGCACGGAGGAAGGAATCTTTCATTCCTCCAAGCTTTATCGCAACTCCTTGCCCTTCTCTCGCAAGTCTGCTCTCCTCTTTTGATCACAACCCCTTCGCCCGTCTCCACCGCTCCGCGACGCCCACCACACTGGCTCGAATTAGTTTCGTTTGCCGACTGGAAACGCGCCCAGAGCTATTTCACACGTGTGCGCGTCTTGCTCGCTCTTGGTGTGCGTGTGTGGTCATGATGGCCGACGGGAGGACTAGCGCACTTTTTCGTGCCTCTCAAAAAAAAACGTCGGAAGTGTGGCCACTTGGCTTGAACTTAATCCGCGTGTTAGGTGCTGCGTTGCGGAGCACTTGCTCATAGCTGTTGATTGATTACCTGGCAGCCAACTTGCCGCTTCGGGCGTCTCGGTATTCAGCTGTGGAGATGGTGAATATTTCGTGAGTGGCGGTGACGACTACATGTGCGCAAAACTGTTTTCGCGAAGCCGACTTCGTTGGGCTCGATGCCGAGCCTGAAGCTTCCGAACAGGACCACTGCGGCGGCGATTTGTGGCAGGGCGTCGTCGACTCCGACCTGGGAGAGCGGGTGGGACGTCTGTTGCAATGATTTAATTACGGCCGATGATGATGACGACACTGCGGAACCGTGCACGGATTGGGGCATTGTGAATGAAGTACGTTGCGAGAGCGATTTGGAGGAATCGGATTGCGAGAACGACGAAGCTTTGGAGCGAGAGTCTCATGCAGCTTATGCCACGGGCCTCGGCGAACGAGCAGCCTGCCGTTTTAAATGAACTCGAGACCGCCCTTATCGTTTCTGCTCTTTGAAACACCTGAATTACGGATTTTTGGGACAAAAAAAGTTTCTGTTTTCACTAGCAACTTTTTTTTAAAAGCTGTTTCATTTACTACGAACTTCGGGATACATCGAACGTTCGGGATACAGCGAACGGATGCCTCGTCACGCTCAGGTTCGATATAAGTGGGCTCGAATGTATCAGATTTAAAGTCTTTTTAAGTGTTTTTAAACCCTAACTGCATGCGATGAACAGAAAGCAGAGTAAGGTCCACAAATTTATCGGCCATTTACTGCTGATTAGAGCTTTAAAAAAATTGTGAATTGCCAATTGCTTCTTTGCTAAATGTTCCTTCAGCACAAAGCTCTCTACACCAGTTGAGAATCATCACGGTTTACCATGCATGTGCTTCGTTTCCAACATTTGTTTACCAGCGAAGGCTTTTTTTTTTGAAGGCCCGAGGTGCTTATTTTTCATTTTTAGACTGTTATGATTATATAAGCGCACAAATGTTTAAATAGTAGTAGGGAAGTAGCTGATATTTTCTGGTATGGAACCATAAAAGGTATGAAATAATCGAATGAGAGTCTGAATTAAGAGGCTTTAAATACATTGAAAGAATAAAGGGCCAACAAAAAAATTCAATTTTGTTTGAATTAACCAACAGTATGAATTATTAGAGTTTGAATTACCGGGAGTCTACTGCATTCTTATTTTCTGCCTGACGGCTGCTGCCAGAAGTCTGTGTGGAGACAGCTGAAGCTTGCCTGGTCCTGCAATAGTAGTTGCCGCTTCTTTGCATCGCGTACACTGCAGGGTGTACCGAGCCTGACAGAGCTGAGAGCGGAGACTCGGAGGACTCGACCGAGTCGCTGCCTGAGGAACGGCGCCATTCTTCAGAGACGCTGCGCCGCAAGTACAGACAGTTGAAGCATCGTTACGAGCAGCGCACCGAAAGCCTGTTGCAGATGCTGGGAGACCTGAATGCCAAGTGCGTGGCTGCATCATCACATAGCCGTGGTTGAGAACCGAGTGAAGTTATGGAGGCTTTTAATGATCACCATCAGCCTATATTGATGTCCAACGTAGGATGGTTTGGTGGTGGGTTAGTCCATATTGCATCTTAGAATCGCTACAGTGCACACAGACTGGGTTAAGAAGAAACAGCACTTAACTATGGTAACATTGTCGTATTTCGTTCTTCTCTTCCCATGTGTTTGTTCTGTATCATATTAAAACTCTCCCAGTTATTGACCCAGTTCCTGTCTCTTGTGAGCTGATTCCGTTTTACGCCCGCAAATTTCTTAATTTCGACACAAATCTAACCTTCCTTAAAGGATTACCGACCTGAACTTTAAATGTTTTCGGTAGGGATGTGCAAATATTGAAATTTGAACTATCTTTTTAAGTTAATAGCTTCTTTGTTCTCCACGTCTATTTCCGCCTGGTATTTTACCGGAAAATTTTTGCGCCCGCTGGAGGCATGGGTCAGTGCACTTAAATTGCAATTCAATCCACAACAACCATCATAGAATAACAAACTTTGTTTTATTCGCTTAACAATGCTTGACTGCATCAGGTGCTTCAGTATGATATCTGTGTGTGAAAAATTTTAAAGCATACAGGCATGTGAATAGCAACATCACATTTTTCACACTCCTATCGTCTCTCGGACTTTTTGCCCTGTGCCTTACGGACTAAGCTGCTTGACTTTGTTTGCCAGGATGGAAAATGAGCCCATTCGGCAGCTTGTAGGCGCATTGGTAACGCCGCGACAGGCGGGTTTCTTCCACTTTGTTTTGCGCAGCTATGTTTGGAAAAAGCTGGAATAGTGCACCCTTTGGTGCTAAATAAAAGCAAACACACTTGCGAGCTAGCAAAATGCAGTGATTGTACAGTGCTCACGAATTCAAATGCAACTCAAAATTTTTTAGTACAGTTTAACCCGGATATACACTCAAACCTCATTATAATAAAGGTGCATATTACACGAAAATATGTTCGTTATAATCGAAAATTTTTTATAAATGTATATTCCAAACATAGTATCTATTGAAAGGCTATTTTTCATTTACTTTGTTATAACCAATATTTTGTTATGTCTGGGTTTTTTATAGGATGGAAAGGTGGGCTAGTTGGTAATTCATGATGGTTCAGCGAACTGGGAGCGCGGGGGTAAACACAGACACAAAGCAAAGAAGAAGCACACAGCACGAGCGCTCGTGCTGTGTGCCTCTTCTTTGCTTTTTGTCTGTGTTTACCCCCGCGCTCCCAGTTAGCTGAACCATCATGGGTTTGTTATATTAAGGTTATATTTAGAGCCTACAAATTAGAGGATGACATAATGAACATGAAAAAAATGCTGTGCTACCTGAAAAAAAAAAAAGGACAATACCTGCCAGTATGTTTTGCAATCGAACATCTATTATTGAATTTCAGTTCTATGCTGATGCTTTGCAGGCAACCATGAACTTACTACCATTAATAATGCTAAGCAGAATCTCGATGATACGAATTCAAAGCGAGCACGCAAAATATTCGTATCATCCCGAATTGGTATGAACCAAAAACAAAAAGCTGATTATGAAGATGAACTAGCAACATTAGGGGTCAACTACATTTTGCTGAAGAAGTCCATGATGTTCTTTTGAATTTTCCTGCTTTTACCGCCTCTCAATAAAGTGACGCGGTTTCCTCACTCGTGCTGCTGGCGCTATAAGGCGCGTTCACACTTGGCATGGAAGAGAGGGAAAGCGGCAAAAGTTAGCTGAAAAAAAAAACGCCACAATGTCGACACGGAAAAAAATCAGTCCTGGGAAAATTTACACTGGATAATTCGAATGAAAATGCCAAAAGGGCCACAAAATCACGTCCACGTCTGTTGAAACATGTTCACATTCGTTCTGTCTGCCTATCATATACATGCCACCACTGCCGTCGCCGCTTGAGAGTTCATTCCTGAACATTAAAATTCATACCGAGTTCTAGCTATGTATACAAAGTACTGAAAAGAAACAGTTTACATCTTTACAAACATTGTTTCAAGAAATACGTCAGAAGAAACAACACGAGCCGACACACCAACAGCGGCAGCGACAGATTTATGATTCAGCTGCTAGTGCAAAGTGAGACACGTTGGGGCACACTGCCGGTGCACTTCCTTCTACTTATGGTGATCGCAGTTATCATAATTCAAACCAGGCTCTCGATGAACAAGTCTTTCTAAAGGCTGTGAGCTTTGTCATTCTGCGCGGGTAGTTCGCAATTGCGCCGGCGCGCTCCACCGCCGACTCCTCTGCCGCCATGTTGAATGTATGGCTGGTTATTTAGAGCTAGTGCAGCCAGTGTAGCCAAAGCCATAGCAGGGTTGTGGAAAAATTGGTCTTGGGTCGTTTTTTTTTTTTGCGTCGGCCTCGCGCCATGGTTTTCTGGCCTATTTTTCAGCAGTGAAGCCAGGCAAATTCTGGTGAGTTTTGCGGCATTTGCTCTCTTCGAGGCCAAGTGTGAATGGGCCTTCTTCCCACAGACAAGCCACGTTGTGCCGCTTGTGTCCAGCGGTGAATCACGTGTTGCTGGGGAAACCGTTCGCAAAACACTGAATCACGACGTATTTTTGTATAATGTAGTCTATCTGAACCAAGTTTAAATTCATATCATCGCAAAATCCACATCAGCCGTAATTGTATCATTAAGATTCTACTCTAGTCGTTTCTTCTTTGTGACTGACCTCTCTGATCTTGAAGCTAGCTTATGACAGCTTCCTATAAAAATGCTGTTCTTTCCTTTGCAAATCACAGTTGCATGTGGGAGGGTTCGACACTCTCACACATGCCACAACATGCCTGCCATGATGCACCATTTTATATTATTTGTACGTGAACTGAAGCAGTAAGCGCAAAGCAAGGCATGTCGTGCAAGGCCCATTCATTGTATATGGCAACCATGGACCTACTTGATGTCCTCTTGAAGGCATGTGACTTTGCTTTGTTGTGTTCTTTTCTGTCTGCATTGTGTCACACCCAAAAATGCTTCCACTTAAAAAATTTGAGAAGATTGAAGTGCGAAATTCCAACTAGCTGAACACGCAAAAGCTCCTGAACGTAAGTATAAAAGAGCACCACCAAGGAGAGAAGCTAGCTCACCCATCGTTCATGCTATTTTTAATTTTTGAGCTTGATGTGCACAATGCAAAATTTTCATGAAGCACACATTTGTACTGTGGAGGAACAAACTGTTTACACTTTCATTATAGCCAAGCACTACAAAGATGCTTGGACCCAGAATGTTCTAGTGGAATGGCTTACTTTTTATTTCTTAAAAACAAAGCATCCTAATAATGTTAACGCCTCTCTAGCAACATGGTACTAATGTGCTGTCATTCATTTGGTACTAGCTTGCAATCTCATAAAACTGTATTGCTGGATCCCTTTATAGAACAAGAATCTTTATGGATGGGTTGATGAGGTTGTCATTCTAGACAGTCACGTAATCTTTGAACCTGCTGGCTAATCAAATGGGGGCAAAGACATGCATGTGCAATTGCATTGTGTCTGTACAATACACTAAGAAATGAATTGATTAACTTGCAGGAGGTGTCTGAATGATAGTATTGCCTCCAGAAACTCATTATCTAATCATACTGCACTGTAAGTACACTTACAAAACCATTGCATTCATTTTTGTGGTGATGGGTGATCAAACTGTGTTAGTGCGAATTTTATGCTCATTGACAGAATGAAGAGAATGGATGGAGGGACATATTTTATCTTAAACCACATGTGTGTGAAGCTATGGAAAACCTAGCAAGTGTTATCTGTCGTATATACCGTATTTACTCGATTCTACCGCGCCCTCGATTGTAACGCGCACCCGATTTCCACGACAAAAAAAAAAAAAAAAAAACAACGTAAGACATCGATTGCAACACACACCCATTTTTCTCGCTGGCCCGCACGATCACACCACTTGAAAAAACGACTCCTTTCGGGAGCGTCTTCCATTTAAATATGAGGTACGGGCGAAGCTTTTGCCCATCTGACGTGTAACAGAGCATTGCCGTCACTGTAGTCTTACCGTGGACCGATGTCAGCACGCGAACTTGATTTGCCCCCTTCTTCTCGACGGTTGTGGTGCCAGGCATGTCGAAGTAAAGAGGCGTCTGATCGGCATTCCCCATTTGCCCAAGCAGGTAGCCGTTGTTGTGCCGCAAGTTTAGGACAAACCTCTGAAAACTGTGAAGCTTTTCATCGTACTCGTCCACAAAACTTGTCGCATATGCCCGTTCTCCTTCGGAGGGAAAATCCTTTCCTCTTCATAAAGTTAGTTAGCCAGCACCTGCTTGCTTTTAACTGGCTCCGCATTAGACCTTTTTCTAAGGCTAATTGCATAGCCCGCACTTGGAGCAGTTCTGTCGTCACGGGCCGCTGTACAGCTCGCTGCTCAAGCACATACTCGCCGAGCAGCATTTTGATTTGCGGAAACTGACCCTGCTGTGGTCCACTGAAGCCTTTGCGTGAATCTTTGCTGACGACAATCTTCTGCTTTTGTTTCCGCCAGTTCGGGAACTCCGAACGACCGCGATGTGGCTCGATTTCCGTCCGTTTCTGCACATGCGATGACTTTTCTCTTAAAAGTGGCATCGTGGTGCACTTGAGTTTTTGGAGTCGGCCCTTCCATGCCGTCGATGCTAATGCACTACAAGATGACGAACTCCTCAGCACACGTACGAAGCGCCCCACATGGGAAACACATAGGCAGAAATGGCCAACGCGCCATGCCGACGCACGTAGGGGGCGGCAGCAGGCTGCTATTGCATTTTTGCCATTTTGCTATTGCCATTTTTGCGCATTTTTGCTATTGCACTTTTGCTATTGCATTTTTGCCGCATTTTTGCCGCATTTTTGCCGCAGGCTGCTATTGCATTTTTTCTTGTCTTGTCCTGATGAAAGCACCGGGAGCTAAGCAGGGAGGAATGGCACGAGGAAAGAAAGTGTGTCATGTGAACCTATTGATATTTAGCACTTTTATTTATTTATTTATTTATTTTTGAATGCATGGCTTTTTCAGTGTGATCCCACATGCACGTGCGGAGAAGTCGTGACCTGGCGCGACAGGCTCGGTAACGACCGAGCGCGCCATGCTCAAATCAGCCAGTGGCTGATACTTAGCCTGTCACACAGTTATTCCGGAGCCTGCAGTGACAGGTTTAAAACCACTGAAATTTGGGCGAGTTTGTAGAACATAGTGGTATTTAGAGGGCGTAAACATACAACAAAGGTAAGACAGAGTTATACAGACGAGCACTCGTTTGTATTACTCTGTCTTTCGTTTCTTGTCTGTTTACATGTTCTAATACCACTATATGCAGTGTCATTAGTCGAGAGAAAATAAAGCAATATTTAGCTGACTGAGAATTTATTGTAAATTCCAGGCTGGGCGTGCTGGTTTGTAGTATTTGGCACGTGTGTTCTCGTGAGCCTCGACTATCGATGGCCAGTGCTTTCTGAGCATGCTCAAAAAGTATTGCAGAGCCCCTCTAAGTGCTATTTTTCGGCATGGCAGCAGGCATTGATTTAGGTTCTTTAGGTATTTAGGGGCTGTGGCTTGGTCAAGCTGTCTACTACAGCTTTTTCTGCAGCTCCCCTGTCAGTGTATTTTTTAGGCAGAAATAAATTATTATTATTATTATTATATTAAACTGTTGAGGTTTAACACCCCAGCATTTAGGTTCTGTAGCTTCCACAGTAGTGCCAAGAAAAGTTGTTGCCGGTATTACAGCCACGACTCTAAGCAAGGGGTGCAAGAGGCTTCAGGTGTGACAGAAAGTTGGGCTTAGGATTCTGTGCAGAAACATGGACACAGGATAAGAGAACTAGCATACAGAAATGGTGTCTTATCTTTATATCTCCCGTGCCATCATTTGTAAAACTTACCTTCTTTCATAACGTAGGCCTATAGCATTTCAAATGAAGTGACTACAGTCGTTGACGGACCTCTTCGCTTCTTCTGTTTGGCTTACTTTTTATGCGTTCTTGTTTTGTTCCCCATTTCTGTTGTCATTTTGCTGTGTTTTTGCATGACCAGGTCGTTCAGTTTTGTACCATGCCTGCCTCTTGCATGATGGGGAAAAAAAAAAGCAGCATTGCGGAGAGACAGCCCCGTGAAACCCCAGCAGGCCCGTCTTACCAGGCAGACCGATGCGCTGTGGCAGCACGTGTCCACGTGCCAGTCGACGTGCATCACCAGGTGCATTTTCTTTTTCATGAAGGACTGCGAGTGCACTCAGCATTTGAAACAGAAAGCACAAGGTGGTGAAAGTTGCACTTCCATTCATTCGGCCTTGTCGAGACTGACAAAATTCAAATCAGTTCAGATAGCTTTTATTTTTTAGAAAAAAAAAAAGAAGATTCTGGGGAGCTGCATTTCCGCATGTTAAAAGATGTTAAGATAGATTGGCATGATGGACCAGCTGCGTACGGCCGAGTCACACGACAGCAGCAGTACACTCGGTTCAGCCACTTAAGTCATACACGCGTGCCATAATGCACTTGTTTTTTTTTCTGTGTGTTTTTTACTTGAATGTGCCATGTTTTATATTTAGTTCAAGGGCACTTACATGTTCAAACTAGAAAGACTCGGAAAATGTGACCATTGTTCTGGGCAGCATAGTGCCTCTGTGTGGCATGCTGTAATGTGGAGGATCAGAGCATATTTTCGCTTTTACGTCGAGGAAACAAGCGTTGTGACGCATGGCCGATAAAGTTTATAGTAGTCAATAAGACAAAGTACCACTCACGTTCTCGCAGTGAGCACTTCGGAGACTACAACTCTGTGTGTAGAATTGGAACATAAGTGTTTAGTAAGCGGCAGATAATGTGAAAAGGCTAGTATGATCAACAGTGTCCTCGGATGCTTGTTTTGGGTGCAATACTCTGGTATACATTTACATATCTACTAAAATATAAATTTGGCAATTATACCACAGTAAGCTGCATCTTGCAACATGATAGCGCTTCCAATTGCACAAAAGATCTGTGTAGCGATAAGGTAGATGTTAAAATTATGCCGTGAACGCATGCATATTTGTCATCATGCTGGTGAAAGCATAAACTGCTGTGTAGCTAAAATGTAACAAACAGAATGCCTATAAGAAAAATAACCAAGATAAGCATATTTGCTTGGTTCAAATCGGGTGAAAAATTACAGCAAGAGCTCTAACCATGTGCAGTCGCTTGCTGTGCAATGAAAGACCTCTTGTATCTTGGGAGAGTGTGTCTTAGTGGGAACATAAATTTGTGAATGAGATTTTTTTTTCTCGTTTCTGCTGCAGACTTTTTGCCGCGGCAAATCATAAAGTGACACACTGCAGCCGTGCTTATCATAGGAGAGTATTTTTGTAGTTAAAGCGGGCTATAGAGCCCACTGAATGGCAAAATGGTGTCTTGACTTTTCTTGAGGCGGCGAACTTTATGGCTTCCATATTGTGATCGTAGCAGTCACGGCTCTGTCTGTGTGAGGCTGTATAGAGAAGTAAACTTACCGAAAAAATTGTTTGGCTGTTGTTTCGGCATTAATATTGTAGAAGGTGCTTCAAAATAAAAAAATCTATAAAAAAAGACAATGCTAAATCTGCAGAGTGTCATACCAAAGGCAGCTAGTAGAGTAGCAAACCAACTCAATATTTTGCAGGAACTATTCTGCATCACTTCTTATGTCCTTGCCCCCAACAATCACGCCTCAGCAAATCCATGTTCTGCCATCTTGCGACTGTGCCATCTCCAACTGTGCTACCTTGCTAATCAATAAATACCAGTGTGCTCAATGTTCACTGCCCACGATTATCACGTTCATGCACAAGTACATTTGTATTTGCGGAAGCTTCCTTCACTTGGGGGAAGCCTTGCTCGATTTTTGGCTGAGCGCCAATAGACCTTTCCCTGTTTGTAAACAGTCTAGAGTAACTGCGGGTACCCCGTCCACCATACCCTCTCTCGGAGCAGGGGCTGGTTGGCAAGAAAGTTCTGCCGGCGGCATTTTTCTGCATAGCAGAGCTGCGTGTCTGCATTCCTTCGACAGAAATTTGTACATTGCTATGTCCTAAAGTCACAGTTTTTAAAAGAATGGGGTTGCGAAAGGGTCACTGCTCATAGTGGGGAAATTTGCTGGTTGTAGATGGATGAATGGAGAAACTTTATTTAGAGTACTGAGAGACGCGACAAGCAGGCAGTAGGCTTCACCCACGTAGATGGCAGCCATAAAAAAATCTGATATTTTTCAAAAGCAAAAATTTTGAATGTACACCATGACTGGCACTTTGAAAAATGTTTGCATGGCATGGATGTAAACTTATTCAATTTCCATCGTGGCATGTCCAATGCAGTTTTAAACAAAGTACAGCATTGGCGGCAGCATGGTTTTGAGCTGCTGTGCTGACGTCACGGATAAGATTCTCACTTAAAGTGCAAAAGACTGATTGGAGACGAATAAAAAAAAAGAATATAAACACTCCTTGCGTGCGTTAGGCTGAGGTTAACATATCCTCGTGAAAATTAAAGCGAAATTCTGCCACTGCGCTTCTCAATAATCCAGTGAAATTTTATGCGATGTAAAACCCCACAACTTAATAATATATAATATTATCTGGCATAGTTAACTTGCTTCATTTGACACCTAGTACGTTTTTTTGTACCTATATTGCTCCTTTAGGCCTGATACACAAACTTCTAATGTGCATTGTCACTTCATAAAGATCAAGCTGTAATAATACAAAGTAGATAAACGAAAATTTCTGCTGTTTCCATTAACAAGTAAGTGTCAGGTATTCGATAATACGAGTTATAGATTCGGCAACGCTACAACGTGCTTATAGCTCATGCGTAGTCGTATATATCGCCCGGAGACCATGCACTTCTATTTTTCTGCACACCGCACATACGCCGAGATGTACCCACTTGCAGATGATCATGTTAAATGCATTTTTACCTTGACTAAAATCACAGATGGTAAAGTTTCATCAATAACCAGTTACTTCAACTGGCCTACAACAAATACCAGTGTTTTCGCAAACAGGACGTATCGCATTATTCACACTGCACACACCATGCTCAATATTACGAGTTTCACCGTCCATAAAGGTGAACCAATATTACGGATGCCTTTCAACGCACCCTACACGCCACAGTCAGCTCCGCACATTCGAAGACGATGCCGCTGTTCCTTGCACAGGCCGCCACGTGTGTTTACTTCACCGAGATAAACAGCCAGCCAGCATGGCGAACATTTCATCACACACTTTACCACATACCTAGATGATCTCTGACACATACCGCAGCTAATGTTGCCACTGTGAGATGAAGGTTAAGCATTCAAAAAGAAAAAAAAAACTGCCCCAAGCATCTAGCGACTGTACCCCACTCAGCCACCAGTGGGAGTGTTTTGCCAAACAACACCGCCTGGCACGTGCACCGGTGATGTCACGCTGTGACGTATCCTGGTAGAGGTCTATTATGGTACATACTGCTGACATCGTTTCACGTTTCAAAAGTGGGCAGAGTCACAGTGACAGGCTACGCCTTCCCCTCGCTATTGCAGAAAAGGGTAGTGGGGCCATGCTAAAATTTGAAACTAGCTGAAACAGAAGCTTTCTTATTATAACAGGTATCCGCGAAATTCTTGCGGCAGCATAGTCACAATGCAAAAGTACGCATATTTGTCTTCATTACAATTTTTAGAACTTGGGGTTGTTTATTGGCCCTTTAATTCTATTGTGGTTTTGGCATGTAAAGCCCCACGTACTAAGTATTACTGTTATTTCTTGAGGAACTGACACTGTTTAGACAAGCATGTCAATAAAGAAGTACACGCAAACAAGCCGCCATTTTCCCAAGCAATGCACACCACATAAATAGTGTTTGGTATAGTGCTGCTTTGTCCTGGCCTCTGTAATGCATGTGCAGATGCCACCAATCTCACTAGTAGGCTTGTGTGAATATACAAATGCTTATAATATTCCAATAAATAGTAGAGTATTTTAATTCGCATTGAGTGGAATTTAAAATGTTGAAAATTTTGAAGTATTCGCAATGAACGAATAGGTGTATACGTATTAGTCCTCATGTAATTGCCTGTAAAGGTGGTTTCACTTTAGTTTAGTGGTGCTAAGCCATGAAAACACCTATCCAGGGGAAATCCGCTCTGCCCTCTTCAAATTTAAAGAGGCCCTGCAACACTTTGAGCATAGTCAGAAAACGCTGCAGATCGGTAGTCGAGGCTACCGAGAACACGTGAACTGAAAATTACAGCACAGCAGGCTGCCTACAATTTCCAATAAATTCTCAAAGTCAGTTAAAAATTGCTCTCTTCTCTCGACAAATTTTTATTTATTTATTTGTGGAATACTGCAGGCCAAAAAGGCCCAAGCAGAAGGGGCACAAACACAACCACAAGATCAGTACATGAGTGACACAGCTTCACTAAAATACATCTGTGTGAGAGGAGAGCGAGTAGAGTAGAAATGACGCCACAAGCTCAAAAATCACTAGTCACGATCATTGTACCAGCCATGGGCTCATTTGAGCATGGCGTGCTCAGTTGTTACCGGGGCCGCCACTTGTCCAGGCACACCTGCGCAATTGCACTGAAAAGCTGCGTATTCGAAGAAAAAAAAAAAGAGAGAGAGAAAGTGCTGAAGGTCATGAGTAGAGGCCGGATTTTTACGCACTAAAAAGAGTATTTTAGGTGACAAAGACAGGCAGGTAACACACCATTTTAGGCCCTCGAAATCGTAATTATGGGCAAAATAAATTTCTGTGAAAATTGAAATATTCCAAAATAACGATGTGTGTGACTTGTATCTACGGCAAAAAGCAAATAAAAATGAAAATATTTATTGATAATGTAACAATTTGGCGATCTTTGCCACCAATGAATCAACAAGAGCATTCTATTAGTGGCTCTCCATGGTTTTTCATTCGTTCCCCAGCTACCCGCGGCTGCCCAGAAAAACCTGCTTTTTCTTTAGCTCTGCAACACCCAGGTTTTCAGGGTGGTTCTTCAGTTCCTTTAGGGCACTGGACAGATGTCTATAGAAGGTGGTCGTCGTGTTCTCAGCCATAGATGTGACTTTTATTTTCTTACCCCATCTTTAATTCTCTCTCCTCCTTCCCCTGCAGACGCTGAGACATGCCTCCACTTAGGGCTGCAGAAATAGCGGATTTTGCACTCCTCATGCTCCTCCTCCGATCACT